GCAAAGACAAAACTTGATCACGTGCCGACGTCGGCCTCAAAACGAGTTCCACCCACGAATACCAAGCACAGAATACTCAATAACAACATTCGCTTCCTCTTCCCTCGTCGTCCATCCGAAAAGATGGCAAATGAACTAAACGCTCATGCGAAGCCACCTGCCAAGATCCGGGAGGTCTACAAGAGATTTCAGAAAGCGAAGCCATTCGAACTGGGGAGCCATCCCAGTGTCCTGCAATTTGATGCCAACACAAACACTCGGAAAGGAATCGATCAGCGAAGGCAATGCGCACGACTGCCTACAGAGCTGCGTCAAGTCTTCTGCGATTTTCTGAAGACCGAGGATGGTCATGAGCCCTCTTTAAGTGTAGAAGAGAAAGAAATCTACGAGGTGGCTGAAATCCCCGGTAAGAGCGACATAAACAACAGATCTGGCGCACGAGGCATGTATTGAGGTAGGTAGGTAGGTCTTTTGATATACCCATCCTTCTTCCCTCGAGAGATCCAACTTTCCCTCCTTGAGAAGCTCCTCCATCGAGATCTCTCCAATCCACAGCATCAGACCAACATCCACCTCCACTACAACGTCCTCTACCCACCCGAGAACAAATCATTCTTTGCTGCTGCAGCCCGAGATCTCCTATTCCAGCCGAAAGACCCCTCCATCCACAAGCCCTTAACAACCCCCCAACTTCTCAGTAAGAAGCTGCGTTGGGCAACCCTGGGAGGCCAATACGACTGGACACACAAAGTCTACCCGACGACCGCACGTCCCGCCTTCCCCTCGGACGTCAAGAATCTCATCGAGGGAAGTTTTCCCATGCGTGCCGAGGCTGCCATCGTGAACCTGTATTCTCCAGGCGATACGCTGAGCCTGCATCGGGACGTGAGCGAGGAATGTGATCGGCCGCTGGTGTCGGTATCACTGGGCTGCGACGCGATTTTCATCTGCGGTCTGGATGACGAAAGAGTCGTCGCGCTGAGATTGAGGAGTGGAGATGCGGTGCTCATGAGTGGCGAGAGCCGGTATGCATGGCACGGAGTGCCGAGAGTGCTGGAAGGGAGCTGTCCTGAGTGGATGGTTGAGTGGCCTGGCGATCAACACGAGGACTGGAAGGGATGGATGAGAGGGAAGAGGATTAATCTCAATGTGAGACAAATGTTTGCCAAGACAGCGACGGAGGGGTAAAGATGGTAGGGACAGGCAGTGTATGAGACGGAACGACGGGACCAAGCTTTTTGTAGAAGATCGCCTTCCTTTAGTGCCGGAGTAGGGTGCGGCTGCCTGAGTATGATTTTCCTATTTACACATTTCCTGCACATGCACCTTCTCCATTCATGAGACAGTGCCAGCGGGCAGCCATCTGGAGGTCATCAGCGCGCTCGCTAAGAAGCCTGTGAGAAAACGCCCATCCCATCTGTCCATTCATTCAAAGCAATCGAGACAGCGCTAGCGGGCAGCTATCCGGGGTATCATCGTGCTAAAAAGCCTGTGAGAAAACGCCCATTCCATCTGTTCAGTCATTGCATATGTCGTCGTCGTCGTATTTCGGTGGTGGTCTCATGCCGTCTTATTTCCGTGCCATCTTCTCGCGCTTGTAGCAATTGACGCACACAATCTCTCCATCAATGTTGCAGCTGTGCTTGTCGCAGAAGAGGCCCTCACAATCGGCGCAATGCTGCAAGGTCGCGATGGACTCGTTGCCGATGGGGTACTCCTCGAGCAGCTCCTTGCAGACCGCTTTAGCCTTGGCGATCTCGTTGGCGATGGTGGGGTTCTTGGTGCGGATAGCGGAAGTCTCGTACTGCTCGGCAAAGAAGCAGCAGGTTTCGCGGCACTGCTTGCAGTGGGAGATGGTGCCGAGGATGCCCGTGTTCGTAGTGAGGTGCTCTTGGCACATGAGAAGGCGGAAGCCGGGGCCGAACTCGTGTCTTGGATGTCCTGGAGCGCCGAGTACCGCACGCGGAAGGCCGTTCTTCTCGCGGAGGTGTTGGTACCGACCGAGTTCCTGCTCATCGATAACAGTCTTCGAGGGCGACGAATCCATCATCGAGAAGGTGTCTCTCGTAGTGGACCGATTGCCCTCTGCGCGAGAATCGCCATGACCATATTCATGAGCCTTGTTGCCGGCGCTACCGAGAAGCGGAGCCTGCGCCTCCTCGCTGGTGTTCTGCGTTGCCATGGTCCACGCACTCTCAGTTCTGTCGAAAAGATTGGTCAAGGTGGTCTGGGCCGAGTTGCGTCGAGCGTGCTTGTCCTTGTCGAAGTGCTTGACATAGTCTTGGGTAATGTAAGCTCCGCCGTTCGAGTTGAGCTGCAGTGGTGCGACAAATGTCTCGACGCTCGGCCCGACGTTTGGCGCTTGACGCGATGCGTTGCCTACTACTTTAGGGAACAGCGAGAGTTTCTGACTGTTCGCACCGCCGACTGGATCGAAGGAGTCCTTGCGTGGCGTACCAACAACTCTAGCCTGTCCTTTGGCCTTCGTGACGCCTCCGTCGATGCCGGCCGGGTGCTGCAAAGTGGCTTGACGGCGGGATATTGGGTGCTGGTCAGTGTTTGCACGCTGCTTAGGAACATACAACTCTTCACGCTGCTGATCACGCTCGGTGGCATGGTGTTTGAGGTTTTCGTTCCATAGGAAAGGGGTCTTCTTCTTTTCCGATGCAGTCAGATAGGTGTCGGCGGCTGTCTTCGGTGAGTCAATGGTCGGGTACTCTCCGAGGAACTCTTGGACGTCCAGGAGCTCGCCCGGCTCGCCCCATCCCACTGCTGAGCCGGAAGACCACTTGATGCTGGGTTGCGGGGACATGCGGAGGGCTTTGCCCTTATGGGTGATGCCAAGACCATGCTGCGAGGGGCCATGCGCAGACACCGTGTAGTCGTACGCACCCTTTTCATTGCTCCAGGTGGCGGTGCGATGCTGGTGTGGCATTGGTGCCTTGCGCACTTCAACCGGGGCCGAGAATTGGCGGGGTGTAAACCGTCCATCCTTGCCATAACCGTTTCCAGTCATTTCGCTGCGCGGTTTGAGCGGCTCTTGGGTTCTCGGTGGCTTGATCGCGCGCGTACTCGGGCTCGCCATGCTGTCAAAGGTGCTCGCGTATGGCAGAGGCGCTGAGGCGGGAGGTTGGCCTACGTGCGCTGGTGATGTAACGGCGCGTCTGTTGCCGCGCAGGTCGGAGTTCGATGGGCTCATCAATCCGAATCTGTCCATTTTCACGGCATCCGGGATTGAAGGCATGGGGGGCGCGTCTTCCGGCACAAGGTCGTAGCCGTTCTTGATCTGGGCAGGCAGCTCCTTGAGATTCTTGCTGGACGGGGAACGACGGAAAACTTGTTTAATATTTTGTAGCGAGCGACTCTTCTGTAATACGATGTCAGTATCTTTGTGCAGCTTCTGAACAAACCAATATTAGCGGTTGGAAACAGCGAGCTCCTTGCGAGCGAGCAAAAGGGTGGTGTGTAAGAGCTGGAAAAGTGCGCGATGCTGCCCTCGCCGTTATAAAGGCAGTCGGTTGATTGTGTGAAGCCGTTGAATGAAGCCGTTGGATGTCGAAGAGAACTGTGGTGCCTGCAGAGATGTTAGTAAAGGGAAAATAGAACGCAAACGGGGCGGAAATAAAGTTTACCGTTTGTGACTCGAGCTTCGCCAGATGTGTGCGCCTTGGCGGGAGAAGGTCGCTTGGTCTCGCGGCGTTGAAGGGAGGTTTCGTGGATGTAGTTGGCAAGCCAATGTTGAATGCTAGTGCGATTTCAATCGCGTCGTCCGGCGCTCGTCGTTTGTCGCTCGAAGCTCGCAGCTCGAGTCGGCGTGCGGATCGTGCAGATCGGCTTCCCACCGGCACAAGGCTGTCTCGAGTGTCTGACAGACCTCTCGATGGCAGGTAAAAGGCTGGACCTCTCGAGATGTCAGCAGAGGAAGTGAATGAAGTGAAGGAGGGTGTACTTGCCTTTGGTCGGTCGAAATTGCCGTTCGAATCGGATTCGTGCGCTCGTGCGCGACTCGTTCACTTCCACTGCCCTTTCCTCCTGCTGCTGCTTGCTGCTCGCTACTGCCCGCTGCGCTACCTAAGTAAAAGAAAAACAGGTCTTACCTTCAAGCCCTTAGGCTCGTCGTCCAGCTCCATGAAGCTGGCCGGAGTGTCCGGCGGCGGCGGCGGCGGCGCGGGCGATCGGGCTGTCACGTGTTAGCATATGGTAGTAAGAGTGAATGATTGCGGTCGCTCTTACCGAACAGGCTCGCCAACGAGGGCGACTTCTTCAACACCATGGTCGTTGCTGCTGATGTTGTGGTTGAAGGTAGGGTGAAAGTGTCGAGGGCGACGAAGTCAACTCTCACAAGCTGACGCTCGGACCACCTCACCTACCCCTGTCACCTTTGTCAGCCAGCAGCGTGCACCAATAGCGCGCAGCTCAATTACGCGCGAAGTGAGGAGGGGCGGGTGCTCACTATCTTATCAGTTCGTTAGTAGTGAAGGAGGGCGCGCAGGGCATCTCCACGAGGTCTGGTGTCTATGAGGCAACGGCGGCGTTGCTGGCATGCTTTTCGAGAGCAATATCGTCGAGATGGAAATTAGTATACTATTCACGAGAGCTGTTGCGATACAACAGAGTCGCGAGCTATGCAGTGGGCCTGGGAGCTACTCGTCCATGTCAATCGCTGAGTACACTTTGCGGGAGAACTCACAGAGCGGTGGACCCTACCAAGACGCCTTTTCCGAAAAGGTTCAAACCACAAGAGACATCTTAGCAATCTTTCACCATTTGCTTTTACAAGTTCATTTCGTTCCATACTTTGCTATCCATAGCAACGGGAATGCCTCGTACTTCGCTGCCTAATGAATTGACCAAATAGCAGAGTCTCATTCGGTGACATTCCTTCAATTCAATCTCGAAGTGCCCGGTACCAGCTTCCCTTTCGCCTCTTCGTGGGGAGAGGACCAGATACTGTCGTGTGCTCGTCAAGTCGTCGGTTCAAGTCGCGCTCATTTCTTGGGTTGTGCGTAGACCTGAGTCCATTCCCGCGCCGTCTTTATCGCCGCCGGCTGATCCTCCTGTACAGTGTCAACGTACTGCCTACGTCTCCCGTGTAATTTGTTCTTGCTCCAATGTGCCGTCTTACCTTCCATTGCTTCGCGACCGCCTCATTCAATGGATCCTCCGGGTTTGGAGCACCCAACAGCGCTTGTATACTCAAGAGAATGGTACGAATCTGCAGCGCCGGCGACCAGTTGTTCTTCAAGACATCGAGACAGATACGCCCAAGACGATCGATGTTCGGATGGTAGATGCGTGTCAGGAAGCGAATCTTTGGAGGGCACATGGGATAGTCGTCGGGAAGAAAGAGCTCGAGCTGGAACACACCACCTGCGGTATCGTTCAGTATGTCATTCCTCGATCAAACAGGAAACATGTCGGTACCTTCGTAGCAGCTGCCGCCTGGGCCCTCCACTATCACGTCGAAATAGCGGGCGTTGTCATCGTGTGGCTGAGCGGAGATGCCTGGCACAGGTTCGTTTTGCAGTCTCTCTGTCTCCTTGATGATGCGCTTGGGGAGCGGCGCCGCCATGGCTGTGTACTGTACTGTACTGTACTGTACTGTACTGATATGATCTGGATCAAGCGGGATGAGGTGAGGTCGTTTGCAGAGCCTGCTCCGTGATAGAGGCTTTGTGGTGTTTGCGCGTCCGCTCTGTAGAGGTCCGTAGCACTAGTCGCCGGAGGAGATGTCTGGATGAGGGTGTTGAGTCTGGAGTTATGGCAACTGGGAAGTTGTTTCTACGGATCGGGAAGACGTGAGGTCTGAGATGAGGGTTTGGTCCCGCGACGGAGAAGCCGCGCCCCACCAGCACCCATGCTGCATGCTGCATCCATGCCTGCATCTGCCAAGAAATCACGGTCGCGTGGCATCACAGTAGATCAGATCGCGACTCACTTTCTCCCCTTGCACCGACGAATATTCACGCAAAATGCCTTATGAACGTCAACCGACTCACCAGGTGCAGGAGGGAAGAACCCGATGAGCCGATTCCGTCGATACCATGCCGGGGAGGGTGCGGATGGGGGCCGATGATGAATTCGGCACACGCAAGAAGACCAGCAGCGCCAGCGTCTCTGCCATCGGCTCCCTGTACATTGCCTGGGCCGAAGATGGAGGTACCTACGTGCAGTCGTTGGCCTCCCAGGACCAGACGCCAACGTCTCTCCAATTCGACGCTGGAAGGTCATCGTCTACTCCGGTCTTGGCCTTCTCTCCCATCAAGCCAAACCTTCTCGCCGCCGCAAATGGCCCCAAGATAGCCATATACGACGTTGAGACGGGAAGAATCAAGTATTCGTTGAAAGGGAGCGGCCGCAATGTCACATGCATATCCTTTGTGCCAATGGACTCCAAGAGCGTCATCACTGGGAGCACCGATGGCAATATCTGCGTCTGGTCGCTCAAAACTGCATCGAGACCGACACATCAGCTTCGTGGGGTGGAAGGGGCTTGTTGTCATGCGGCCATTAATCCGGATGTTCCTAATCTTCTGGCTACCTTGCATCGCTCGCGCATTGCAATCTGGTCACTCTCAGAGTCCAGATTGGTGACGGTCACGGATCTCCGGGATGAGGACATCAAATTCCTCAGTTGGATCCCGTCGAAAGAGGGGCCAGGTATCCTCACTCTATCCCAAGAAGGTTGCATCAATATCATGGACTTCAGCAACGCCATGGACACTGTCAAGACCAGCTGGCACACCGCAGGCCGGTCAGGTTCCGACGACGACGATGTACTCTCTGGAAAGCACAAGCAGCTCGGAGACGTGAGGGTATGCACTTTCAACATCGGAAATATGGTGCTAGAAGCTTGCATACTGGGCCACAACGGCCTGCTTGTACTGCCACCCCACTCACAAGTGCTGTACTTCTATGCTTACTCGCTCGAGTCGCATACCCTTACCGAGATCTGGCGGCTTCAGGTGGAACATATCTTAAAGGACTTCGTCTTACGGAGACGTGAAAGCGGTGTTGAGGTCATTGCTTCTTTCGACCATCAGATGCAGACTTTTGAGATCCCAGATCCTGTTCTTGATGGCATGGGTTGGTCGACGGCCGAAAGTTCCATGCTTCGCCCTGAACTACAACGCTTCAAAACTCAGCAAGGCTCGAAGAGATACAAAGGAAACATGTCACCGAGAAGGATGGCTAGTAAGCGCTGGCGCCAGAAAATGCTTCATCTGCCCGATTCTATGGAGAAACCACAGCGTGACACGGTGGGAATATCAAATGCACGGTCCGTGAAAGTGTCGCCCGAAGACCAATCTGAGTCTAGACGCGAGGCACATGTGTTCAAGTCCATGACTTCTAGTCTAGAACTGCCGAAGGAGCGCCACGACGAGGATGAGCATGATTCCCCAATGCCCTTTTTGTCGCCTTCGATCCCGGCTCGCAAGTTTTCTCCTGGACCTTTGACTCCACTCGACGAGAGTGTCCAGCTTCCGCCACGCGCGTCATTTGATTCGATAGATACCCATGGCGTTCACGGCCATGATAGCGACTCAGATGATGAGACACTCGCAGAAGAAATGCAAGGCAGTAATTCTTTTCTGCCAGGGGGACTAAATGTGCCGCTGCCCAGTACTTGTGGAGCTGTGTTTACCGCCGGGGGTCAGCTTTTAACATTCTTCCCTTCCAGACCAAAGATCGCGCCGACGCAAGAGGAATGGGTAGTCGGCGACATGGACGACAAGGCCGATCGTACCTCAATAGTGACTCGTCTCTTTCCCAGCTTTGGGAGCTTGCTTTCCAACGTCGACGAAGCTTCAGATTTGAGCTCGGACGAGTCCGAGATTGGCTTTTCTGCGGGCCCAAAGTTCTCACTGCGGCCTTCTTCATTCGAAGATCGTCCTTCTTGGTCTGCCAAAGCTTCGCCCGTGAAGCAGAAGCTAGCTGGCCTACTCGGAGACAATAGAGTGAACGTGACAATACGTGACCTGGAAACCCTGACACCGACTCGCAGATGGCTCGCAGGGAAGTATCAGGTCATTCCGAAGGACGAAGAGACCGGTTCTGACCTCTGCAATGCGAACGCAGTCTGGGCTACTGATCATGGAATGAGAGACACCGGGGATGCATGGCGTATGCTTGCGCTGATCCTCGAGAATCGAGCCACTGCACCAGATGTTGGGCTAGACATTAGTGCTATGCCCGCGACCCTCGTTCCGCAAATGTCGAGAAATCCATCAATCGCTTCGAGTTTTGACGTATCACCCGGGGCCCTGGGCTGTGAGATGCCGAACTCCTCGCACCATCCATTTGGAGGCGGCTGGGCAGTTGAGCAATTGTTCGAGTGGGCTGAGCTCAGAGCTGATGTTCAGTTGCTGGCTTGCATGTCTGCGATCTTAGCTCGGACTGCTGAAGCGGCGAGGCAGCCTGTTAGGAGCGGCCGCTCTCGATCCTCCGTACGATCGGGTTCCATCAGTCATCAATTGGCCGAGCTCGATGCCGCTGTGCTTGATGCTACAAGAGTACCGCCTCGGATTCCAGTCGTGCAAACTAACTCGGACGGCGCGTCTGGTAGATCCCCGATCAAGATACAGAGCTCGGGTGCATCTTCGAGCAACCATTCGCAGCCGACGACTCCATATCCTGACTCGTCACGCAGCACTCCACCGCGGACCCTCCCAAGCCTTTCGAGACAGGCAAGCAAGCTCTCGACGTCCGGGTCTGCAAGCCCAGAGCATCATCGGAGCAGCTTTAGCGCGGCCGCGAGGAATTATGCGGCATCTATCGCAGAAAAGTTCTCGTCCTATGGATCTTCGCCACCTACGAAGAAGCTCAGTGTTAGTCCAAGCAACGAACTGTCCTCAAGTTTGCCTACCAATCACCCGGGCAGCTGGAGCAAGTCCGTGTCATTCGCCTCCACCTTAGATCCGCCGGGAACAGGTCGTCGTAGTCTGAGCCTTGCGCGAGAAGACGATGAGTACGATAGTGACAAGACAATCGACGATGCCAGTCTGCCTCACACGCCAAAGAGCCACGCTACTACGATACCGTTCAAAATGAAGCAAGATGGATTCTTCGATGAATCGTCCCTCACCTCGAGGGACAATTTGATGCCTCCGCGGCTGGCTGCGAAAGGTCGATTGTGGCGCGAGCATTACGCTGAGCAGCTGCGGTCATGGGAAATGTTCATCGAAGCCGCAGAAATCGAAGATCGTGTTCATTCCAACGTGTACAAATCCGCAAGATCAAGGTCTCGAGAGCAGAGCATCCTTCCTCGAGCTGCTGGGAACCGGAAGCACGCAACCTGCAGCATCTGCTATTGCATTATCTTCGCGGCAGAACAACTGTGCCCTGCTTGCCTCCACACGACGCACCCGAGTTGTCTGGACGAGATCATTTCTACCCTGGGCGATGTACCTTTCACTTGTCCAACATGCGCTTGCGACTGCTCTTTGAGTACAGATGGCATCTATGAGCTTGCTGAAGAGACTACGACAGAGGGACCTGTAACTGAAGCCTTGTCTTTCAAGAAAGCGACCATTGTAGGCCAATCTCGACTGCGACACGAAATGCAAGTATCGGACAAAGCCTGAAACGAAGATACTGTCCCGAATTTCTACCAGTTGAAGCTTGTCTGATTGCAGTCACCTTTCCTGCTTAACTGCGATTGAAGGGATATAGCTTGCGAGGTTCGAACAAATCGTAGCAGCTGCCGACGACTTTATCTTTCACGCCTTACCAGATGTTGTCTGCAACCATTTTTGGGATCATAGTGGCGTTCTTGGCACGGAACGGAGCTTACAGATTTCCAACGGCGCCATTTGCCATTGGCGAAGCGACCGGACAACTCTGGGGATTCCGGCGTCCCTGTCGATCGCTTTGCGGAACGACAGAACCACAATCTCTACATCGCCAATCTGTCGCGTCGCGCAGCTTTTCAGTCGCATCGAAGGCGGGGCCACAACAAGGGCATAAATTGGCATATCATTGCCCTCGCGCATCATCTCGCCGTGAGAGCGACCACTCGAATCCATGTCGATTTCCACCAAGACCGCGTGGACGATGCATTCCGTCCAGAATAGCCATGACCTGGCGAATGGACTCCCACCGAATGGACTCCCGCCGAAACGAAAGCCGAGTCGCCTGGTGCGCGCGATTACGAATCCGAACGAAGTAGTCGCTGCACTCATCCCGAAACCACGAGAACAAGATCCCAATGCCAAGCGATTGGAGGACTTCAGGTTTGCTCGCGCTCTTGGGGGAATGGGTTTGGACTACGGCATTGGAGAGCCAGACAGAGCGCGAGAACTCCCACCAGCCGCAACTCCGCTTTTCCCCGTCGAAATAGATAAGAGCATTGAAGACAAGCTACCAAGAGGATACAACATGCGTTCGTTGCAACGCGCCGACTACGACCGCGGATACACCAGGTTGAGGGCTGTTGGACCGATCTCGCAGCAAGCTTGGGATGAGCGCTGCGAGTACCTGCGCACTAGGGCGGACATGTACACCATCCTGGTCGTCACAGACAACAACGATCAGGTCGTCGCGACCGGAACTCTGCTTTTGGAAAGAAAACTCACGAACTCCATGAGTCTTGTCGGTCACATCGAAGACCTAGCGGTGGGAGAAGGTCAAAGCGGCAAGAACCTCGGTCTGCGAATTCTGGATCAACTCGATCGTCTCGCGAACGACTTTGGATGTGCGCGGACAGTTTTAGGCACTCAGGAGTCCAACGAGGCGTTCTACAAGCAGAGGGGTAAGTTACGACGCTCGCAGGGAGTCTCGGGTATACTGACAGGCTCTTTGTAGGCTATCGAAAGACCGGTACCGAAATGACACACGCCCACGCACCTAGCATGAAACGCATGCCTAGCGCAGGACCCAGAACCGCGCAAGCCGAAGCAAAGAGCGGGAATGCTAGCCCAGAACGAATCGAACGAGAACGCGCATGGGCTTCTGCTAGACTCGGCGAGCCTTGGAACGGGATGCCGAAGCAGCAGCCTGAGGACTACTTTTGAAGCCATGCGAAGACATGGGGATGGTGGAGCTATTTGAGGGCAATATAACCACTTGCAGGCAATGCGAGGCACATGGATAATGAAACACTATGTCTACAGAGAGCGCGGCGTATTTGGAGTTTTGCAATCGCTCGCACGCACGCACACCAAACAGACGGAATGATACCACGCAGCAGCAGCAGCAGCAGCAGGAGGATATGTACTGTTTCTGTCGAGAGGAAGCCAAGGCACAACAGAACTTGCAAGGGCATGTATGTATATATGTATGTGTACAATTGAATACTATGTATATTCGATAGCGAAAAAAAATCATTTCTTCAATACACGTCTCAAAAATCCTCGTGGTGCAGACAGACGCTGCTTCAATCAAGTTTTCGAACATTCTAGACAATGGCAGCCCACATGGTTAACTGTAACAAAGTCCTTTCCCTTCTAGGCAGTAATCTCGGGCAGCAAATTGGAAGTGAAGTTCCATAAGACAGGGCTCTCGCTCGAAGCCCACGCCGCACCGGTATACCAGGTGTTGCGCTTTCCTTGAACTACACGAGAGAGAAAGAGAGAGAAGATCTGTTAGCAAAAAAAAAAAAAGCGCGAGAGATCGCAATCAAGGGGAGAAACGCGACTTACGGCCTTTAATCTTCTCATAGAAGCCGTTAGCCAAAGCATCCCTTGGCGGAACGACAGTGAAGGGCGAATTGTCCTTGAATTCCACAAAAGTCGGCGTCACCGACGATGTCGAATTGGCTGTCTTTCTGAGCCGTCCGAGGGTGCGGGCGATGTCGGCCTCGACTGCTTGCTGGGTCAGCGGCGACGGAGAGGTATACCAGACGTACCACAGGCCCTGGATGTGCGTCTCGCTGACGAAGTAAGGCGCTGGGGTGGCGGGGATGTGGTAAGTGGAATTGTCGGCGACGACGTTTTTGAAGCGGTAGCCGGAAGGGAGGCCGGTATTGTTGATCAGCATTGCATAGTAGTTGCTGTATGTCCATTGGGAGAACAGGGAAATTTCTGTAGCGTCTAGATCCAGTGGGGCGAGGTTGCTCAGGATGGGCGGGATGGAGATGAGGAGTTTCTGGGCTTGGATCAGCTTGGGGCCGGTTGGTGTGTTGACGACCAGGCGAATCGGGTAGGAGGTGTTGGAAGCCGAGCGAGACGAAGCAATGACGGTGGAGGAGAGGAGTGCGTCTTGGCCGAGCTTTTGCAGGGCGAGGGCGTAGATTTCCGTGTTGTTGTGGTCCTTTGTAACGACGCCGTTGCCCTGTGCAGAGTTGAGGTAGTATTCCGACACGATTTTCATGACGTCTACAGTCGGTCGTTGCAGGAGCGAGGAAAAGCCCGAGGCGTCTTGGAAGATGTCGTAGGCTTCGTCCTGGAGATTGTATTTGGCAACGAAGTCCGAGAACGATAGCAGCAGATCAGAGGGGACCGGGTAAGGCAGATCCCAGCTGTAAGACAGCGTTGGGTATTTGGCAAGTTGAGCTTCCCAGAGCGAGTAGTTGGCGCTACTTTGACCCACGCCTTGCACTTCCTGGCCAGTCCTGAAATCGGCGGAGATTGTCTCTGATAAGGGCGACGACATGTTGATGTAGTTGACCCCCAAGTAGCCGAAATAGTCGCGCGTCAAGGAGACTGAAGAGGGAGATCAGCATAGGGGTTGATGTAGCTGGATGAGAAGGACTTACTGTTCCAATATGCCTGGACTCCATAATCGGTGGCGTTGCCCGAAGCAGCATCAGTGTAGCTCTCCACTGGGCCTCCCAGCCTGTTCTGCTTCTCGATCACGACGACGGTCTTGCACCTTCTCTTGAGGTTGATAGCGCCATAGGTACCAGAGCTGCCTCCGCCGACCACGGCTACATCGCGAGTGATGATATTGCTGCTACTGTAGCTCGCTGGGTCGAATTGATCCCGGACATTCGGAAGGCCGGCCGCCAATGCCAAGCAAAAAGAAAGCGATGCTAGGGTCTTCATGATGGCGATTTAGGAGAGCTGCGGGCCATTCTGGTCGAAGGGGCTGCTTTCGCCTTCTTATACATAGCATTGCGATAAGCATTGCGACAAGCACTGCGACAAGCATTGCGACAAAAATTGCCAAGAATAGAGCACGAGATTGTCTCTCAGCTCCATGGGAATGCGAAAGATGCGGCGTTGGCATCGGTCTTGTGTACCGACGTCCTTCGCGCTCACGGCTCAGGATGGCGTTCCCGGCGCCAGCTGCCTAGAATGGCCATTTCATCGGCCCCAAGACCAACCGACTATCACATGAAGGGAGCGGGAGAGAATGCCGTCGCTATCGGGCCGGGTTCGCGAGACGGCGTGAGGCACGTTGTACGTGGTGGTTGTTGGTGAGGTCAACGTGGATTTCACATGTCAGAACTCAATCTCTCGTGGCTGCACGGACCAGCCGGTTCGGGTTTGCCGGGGATTGTGGACCGGGTATGGCCGCGTATCATCCGACCGGGTATCCACTCCGATGTTCTCTTCTTCTCGCCACACTGATCGCTCGTCGACTTCACCTCTTCTTTCTGCCATCGCACATTCGTCAGCCCCACGTCGTGAGAATGCTCAAGATGGCCTTGATATACACAGGTAAAGTGCTTCTGCTCGGGCATCCTCACCAAGATTTTCCCTCACGATATCCCTCTCACACACAGTGTTCTGTACCGCCATCTAGCTTCGTCAAAATGCCTGCTACAAAATACAACTACCCTCGCACGGCTGCAAACACTGTCGAGCTGACGCCTGATAGCACGCCGGGAAACACTCATCCCGTTCGCCTGAGCGAAGCAAGCGTGAGGGAAGTTTCCGAGCCACTTACGATCAATCATGACCTCTATCACAATCGCTGGAATGCGGGCCTGCACAACCACATTGCTTACTATCTGCTCGCTCTCTAGGCGCTGGATGCATCTCTGAACGAGTCTAAGAGATATGGGACTATAATGAGCCCTACCTAGCACCAATTGATAAGGCACGAGGAGAATCAGGAGGACCTCAAGCTGAGTGATCCGGTCCTCTTCCGTAAGTGCCTTAGACAAGATAAGCACTACGTCGACTCCCTCATGCTTTTCCGGAGCGAAATGGAAAAGAAGGGCATCCTAGAGGCCGTCCGTAAGTATGCTCTAAAAGGGAATAATCGCGTAAACAACATCGTCTACCGTATGTATACGGGTACGTCAGCTCCTCTTTCGCGCGCTCTCTTATAAAGATACTAACTAGTGTCGCAGACCTCTTTTATCCTATAATCTACCTTAGATATAGTATTAGGTGGAATCAGCTAAGCGTCGCTACTAAAGTACTTACTACGTTATGTATCTACGAGAACTGGCCTAAAGAGTTAATCTTAGCGTCCGAAGGATTCCTTAAGACGAACGAAGTTCCGGAGTCGTAGATACTCGATATTCTCGAATAGATACGGCAAGATTCTAAGATCTCGAAATCTATCAAGCCAGACGAACTCTATAATAAGATTGCCGATAGTCTTATAAAGCGCGTTTCTAAAAGCATTTCGCCCTATCCCTTTCTTTATCCTAGATTAAGCCTACGCTAGAAGACCTGTATAACAAGACTTCCAAGATACTATACGCGAGCGCATACGTAATGGGTATTACATAATGACTAGACAAGTAGGAACAGATAGCCCTCGACGCGTGCTCCGAAACCATCGGTGTTAACATACAAAGGCCGGCGGCACAGCTTCTGCAGCTTCAGCAGCAGTCCCATTTGTTCGCCCATGACATGGCGGCTGCCATGTTTTTTTTATCATGATCCTTTTATCCTGGACATTCACCTCTTCAGCTCTGTTCTTGTTACTGATGATCCTACGGCCTGCTGTTGTTTGGAATCGATTGCCTGCGATTGCAACACTGAACTTTTCACGAACGACATCGACGATAGTGTTTGGACGAAGCAGGAACTTTGCGGATACGACTGCGGACAGATTTCTTGGCAAGATGCCTTCTGCAAGACTTTCCAGTGGCACGAATGCCGCGGCTTGGATCACTGCTCCCAAGGCCTCTCCGTTCGAGGTCAAGGAAGCTCCATATCCGTCTGCGGGCCCCAACGAAGTCATTGTCGAGACTGCCGTTGTAGCCATTAACCCTCTCGAATTCAAAATCCAAGATACCAACCCTCCCATCGGAGGCAGAGAGATCCAATACCCGACTATCCTCGGCGCAGACTTGGCTGGAACCATCGTCGCCGTGGGAGATGCTGTCGCGGATCGCAAAGTCGGCGATAGAGTGATTGCGAATGCGAATGGGGCCCAGACTGGCCGGCCGGCGATGAGCGCATTCCAGCATTTCGTCAAGTTGGAGGAGGGTTCTACGACTCCTATTCCGGACTTCATCTCGTTCGAAGCCGCGAGTGTCCTTCCCCTGGCCTGCGATACCGCTGCGGCGGGATTGTTCGTGGACAAGCAGCTCGGTTTGTCGACGTCCAAGCTGGGAGATGTCTCTGCTCAGCCTCCAGCGCCCGGCTCTGCAGTCCTTGTCTGGGGCGGCAGCTCGAGTGTTGGATGCTGTGCGATCCAGATGGCTCACGCTGCGGGGTACGAGGTCTACACCACCGCGTCGAAGCGCAACCACCAGCTTTGCAGCTCGATCGGTGCAGAGAAGGTGTTCGATCACTCCGACCCACAGGTCGTCGAGGACATCGTTATAGCGCTGAAGGGCAAGAAGGTCATCGGTGCACTGGACTGCATCGTGGATGCGGAGAAGACCATTCCACCACTTGGACAGATCCTGGCTCAGACAGAGGGTCAGAAGAAGATTGCTGCTGTGCTGAACCCACCAGATGTCCAGCTGCCCGAGGGTGTGCAGGCTCAGCGATGTAGGTATCATCAATCAGATTTGCATTGGGCGCATGGCTAAACCTTCCGTAGTGAGCATCCCAGCCCTTCGTCAGAGCAACACCTACGATATCATCCACGCCTGGATGCCCAAGGCTTTGGCCAACGGCACTCTGCAGCCCAAGCCTGACCCATGGGTAATTGGCGAGGGTCTTGAATTCGTCCAGCAAGGCGTGGACACAGTGCGCAAGGGCGTCAGTGCTACAAAGATTGTAGTCAAGTTGTGATCAGCATCTCAAACAGAATGTATAAGAGAGGAGTAGATATTATACAGCCACGGCAGACATCTGAGATGTCTATATTGTACGAATACGATTACGAGAATTCATTCGAAACGACACGAGAGTGATCATGTCAATTGTGAAAATTCGTCATGCATGGTGAATATGCCAGAACGCGATAATCGAATCACTTACCTGTGAGCACCTACCTTGGCTTGTCGTCTCGATCGCTCAACATGAAGGCCGACTGCCCAGGCACCTCAGCGCTCAACGACGAGTGACGTCTCAGCCGTAACAAAGACTGAAACATCACCTTTGCCTCAGGCCCGCAATGCCGTTCCCATCGTTCAACCGGTCAAAGACCAAAGACAGAAGACAGCCTTCCTTCCAGAATCCTTGAAGTAGATCGCAAGATGCACGCACAAACGCTCGAAACATGGCATTCCCACGTGTATCCCATGTTTAGCATCGACACGGCGCCGGTCAAAGGATCGCTTGTTACAACACCGGCATATCGACCCCTATACCGCAGTGTCGCGGATAGGAGTTAGTAGACGGAGTCAGAGAAACAAGCTCCGCCGATGTCCCGGGATCGGGGATGCATCGGGATTTCGAGTGAACATGGATCCTTCAAACCCCAGTTGGCTGCCGTGATATCATGCGTAATTTCATGGATGCCCGCAAAAGCGATCGTGGAGGGTGGTTGAATGTTATAGATGATAGTCGATGCGAGGTTGTTGCGTGCGGTAGTCGCAAGCTGCCAGGCTGGTCTTGGCACATACAATTCTTGGTGTAGTGCCATTGTCTGTCCTAGACGTTTTCTTCGATTATTCTTCTCAAAGATGTCTTCCAGCAACAGTCAACGCTCAGCAAGCCTGAGCCCAGAGGGCAGCGGCAGTAACAGAGGCTCCATGTTCCGGTCTCAGATGACGCGGGGCCGAGAGCACACCAGATCGCCAACAACAGAATTATGCGTCTGGGCATGAGGAAACCGATTCAGACGACACGCTGGCCAAAGGATCAGATGAAGGGCGTCCGAAGCCTTGTAGTCGTGAGGAAACTATGCCGACGTTGTCAAGAGCCAGACAACTGCTGTAGCAGATGCGTTCGTCTCCCATTCCCTGTGTGCCAGTATGAAAATCGCTGACGGAACGAAGGGGAATGGAATCGAGAAGCAAGACATTCGCTCGAGTTCAAAGACCAGTGACGAAGCCGAGAAAGGCCCCAAAGAATTCAGGGGAGACTGAGACCTTGTCAAAGTGCCCCGTCGGCGACGAAGATGATTCTTGGAGGCCCTTACATGGGCACCTGAGGTTGAGAAGCCGACGGAGTATCGCAATTCGACCAAATGGTTCATGGCCTGCATGGTAGCGTCGGCAGCAACTACGTCTGCCATTGGATCTTCGATCTCCTATCGTGAGTTGGTTGATTGCTTTTTCTGAATTGAGATCGGTGCTTGATTGTAGTTCAACAGCTGCTCTCCATCAAGTCGCCGATGACTTGGGTACTGCTCCAACTGTGGCCAGTCTGTCGTTGGCCTCCTATTTGCTCGCCATGGCGTTCACGCCTATCCGCGGCCTCCGTGCAACTGCAGCCCCTCGTACCTGCAGGCCGCTACGATTCCGAAGGCATGCCGATCTACTTGCCCGAAAACCGCACGCAAGAGAACATCTGGATTGCGGCCTCGCTCTATCCCGGTGCGATGATTTGGTACGGCGGGATAGCATAGTACAGTATCCATTGAATCGTTCTTGACATCGCGAACTTCTTCTTCGAAATTGGCAGCATGCTAGTCTTCGGCGCTGTGACGACGATGTTGACCGGCTTTAGCCCCAAGCGGTCCTCGAGCGGTACAATTTCATCATTGCCACTGTCGTCGTGCAGACTTCATTGGGGCGATGTGCACGGGGTGGAAGTGCACCATGTTACGAAACAGTGTCCTTTCCAGACGGAGTTGACGGTGAATTGCTTGAGAAACGTTGAAGATAGCCGATGAAATCTGTGATGGTGATGCTCCTCCAACTGCATGACTCGTGCCCTCCGCCTTTTCCTCGGCACATGAATCAGTCAGCAACAGCATCATGTGATTCACTGAATGTTACGC